TGTGTGTGTTTAAAAAAAAATTATTGGGTTTGTTTGTTTGTTTCTAACAGTTTAAATCGTGGCTCACATCAGTGAATGTGTTAAAATACTCAGCAATGTTTCTTTTCTTCACCTTCATCATCTTCGTTTCTCTTCTGCACTGTGAAAAAAATCCCCCGTATCTCCCCCTGTGTCACAGGTGCAGTCGCTTCCAATCAGAGATCAAACGGCTGAAGATCTCGTCACCCGTGCGTGTTTGTCAGAACTGTTATTACAACCTCCAGCATGAGCGAAGCGTCGAGGACGGCTGCAGAAACTGAGCTCCACGTCCACCCGCCGCCAGCCCCGAAACAAGCCCCTCCTGAGGACCCGGGGAGCATTTCATTCCTCTATCCGACTTCCCTCTGCATCTCCCGAAACTCCTTCCCCCTTAAACCCTCAGCAACCACGTGCACTGTACCGCACTGACAGGGTGTCGCAGGAGGGAGCGACTCAAGTACGGCGGCGGAGCTCAGCAAAGGAGAAAGGATGTGAACGAGGACAACAGATCACAAAGAACACGGAAAGAAACTCAGTCCCCACTTTTACCACCGGCACTCACCTGGAGCGGAGGGAAGAAAACGCAGCGCGCACGAATCAGTCATCCACCATCTTTGCTTAGAGATCAAGAAACAGGCAAAACTTCAGCTTTCACAGCAGGATGAGAAAAGACAAAAACTTGTTGATAGTGTAAATAGGTATCACGGCCTTTTTAACTCTAAAAGGAGCAACCACCGAACAAAAGATAAGGTCAATGAAGTAAAAAGAAATGCCTGTAACATAGCGTTGTGACTAACCACTCCTGGCTTTAAAAAAACAGAAAATTGATTGTGTGTAGTGTGCGTCACGAGTCACAGCGAGAATAACACGGAGGGAGATGAATGTCCATAATTAATGTCTCTGGGTCGACTAGAGTGGGTCTAGTTATGCAAAATGACTTCTTTATAATTTCCCGATCGTTTTGTTGTTTACAGACCTGTGATTTATTCTGAGTGTCAAACCGTCGCCACGCCGACAGAGAGGTTCACTCTCTGATTGTCGTTTCCTCTTTTTATTGCCAAACTGTTTTCTCGTGTCAGTTATGATGTTTAATTTTTAACATGTCATCTGTTCAGTCCTTTTTTCCCCATTTGGAGATTTTTTTTATTTTAGTTACTGCTGCTTTCTGACTACAAACTTTATCGTGTTCAGTTTGACTTTGATCTTTCTCGTTAGAACCATATCACTCCTTTCATTGTGTGGTTCCTTCTGCATTATTATAATTTGTTATTAAGAGAGAGAGAAAATCGGGGTCATCTTGTGTAAAAAGGTTAAAAGTAACGCACATGCGTCCCGTAACTGCACATTTAGTGTCCATCGCGTCCTTTCGTTTTTGACCGTACAGCTTTAAAGCAGCTTCTTGAATGCACACTAAAAAGGGACTTCCTCATGAACTGTGTTTTGTTTTTTTATTTATAGTGTTGGTTTCTATTGAGGATTTGCTGGATTTTTACTCCCCTGTGGCATTATCACAACACTCGTTATCCTCACTCACTGGAGCTGCAGCCAAGCACCTTTTTATTAAAGAGATGTTTCAGAGTATATGTGGACGTTGGAGGTGTAAATAGTCACGTAGGCCGTTGGATTTTTAATAAATTTTGGCGTGTTTTGTCTTTAAAGGTAAAGACTCGGCCAGACAGACTTGCAGAGTATTCTTGTGTCGCTTTTCTTTACCATATTTTACAGTTAAAGCTGCAGGAGAGCGAGTCTGTCGGTGTCTTTTTCTACCATTATATCAGTGCTATGACTTCATATTCCATCCTTGTTGCTCCTGCAGGGGAAGAGAAGACGTGGATTTTGATGTGACACTTTAGACTGAGAGCATAAAATGAACCTCGTGCCCTTCAGTTGTTGACGTTAATAAACCTTTTGACTTGATCTAATCTAATGATTGTAGAGTTGATTAATTTAATGTTTTTCAGACGTCTAAATTCATTTGCAGCTTAACTGTTTAAATGTAGAAGGACTTGGATTGTTGCACTAACATAACAAACTCAAAGCTATGGGGTGTCATTTGTGCCATCAGATTAGTGACTGTCACTTTAACAGTGACCAAAGAACCCCAACAATCAGATGACTCCCTGTGAGCAAGAACTTGGCGAAAGTGGGAAGGAAAAACTCCCTTTTACCAGGAAGCAGGCTCAGGGAGCAGCGGCGGTTATCTTATTACTTGAGACCAGAAATTAAAATGACTTGATTCTTCATTTCATCTGAAAAGGCTGAATGTGAAGTACTCAAAGGAGTTCAAACACTATAAAAACACGTTTCTCTGCCCCGCTGAGACGGCGATATCAGAGGTTTTATCTGCTTTCATGTTGTTGAATGTAACTCGATCTTTTGTCAACACAAATCCATGTTTGGCTCTTTCTGCGTTAAAGACCGCACCTCTCCCCTCACTCGGTTTGTGGTTCTGTGGGCAAACTGTGCATTCAAGGGCTGCTTTCTTTCTTTCTTTGTACGTCCCACGAGTCTTCACAGCCATTTAATGTTCACCCTCACCGCTCCACGTAATAATAATAATATGCACTCATGTTATCGTCCTCCTTTATATCATTCTGCCTTTCTGTACTGTAACTTAGCGTGCAATCATGCCATCCAGCTGAAACGGCCGAGTCGGCTTCTATCAATCGAGGATTCCTTTTGCACCTTCACGTGTACAAGAAGAGAAAAAAAAACTGTCACGTTTTTATCGAATGCAGATTTTCGTTTTAACTGAAAGGTGCATTTCACAGCGGATAAATGAACTGTACAAAGTATTTATGCAATTATAACTGGGTTTAGATTTTCTTTTATATATAATTATTGTGATTTCAGCAAGTTTTGTTACTTGTTGCATGTCTATTAACACAGCTGACTTTCTGTGTCAGTGCATTGTACATGTTTGGCATTAGATTATCTCTCTTTTTTGCTGGATTTATTCTTTTTTTTGTTTTTCTTTGAGGCATTGTTCGACGGGTCATACCGAGCGACAGGTTTGTGTACAAAGCCGCAGATCATGACCCCGACTCTGGGTGGACTTTTGTACTCTTTAGGGGGGAAAAAATAATTAAGGATTAATCGAAAGCAAAAAAAGAAAGGAAAAAAAAAAAGAGAAATCTGGATTATTTTGGTGGTCTTGTATTAGACTGCGTTACTACAGTATCTGGTGTGCAATCTGTAATAGCTGAATGTTCCTTGTATATTTGTGTTCACTACATCCTACGAGAGAAAAAACCCACAGTAGAGTAACCTCCCCGTCCCCCGTTACAGAAACAAAATGTTACAATAATGCAATAGATCTGGTACTTATTCTTTTTCATTTCATTTCAATAAAAAATTGCTGTTTCCCACCAAAGGCATTTGCTTCGTTTCTAAGTTGTAGCAACGTCTGAGCTTCTTAACTTTTAAAAGATTTAATGACCCTACGCATCCACGACACGCTACTTTTACAGAGGTTAGACAGGTCAGTCAGGTTTTTCTTTTTCTACTTTTGGTTCTGTGTGATGTCAGAGGGAGAGGATATGCCTAATATGG